GCTGAATGTTCAGACGACAATACTAGAAAAATAACCAAAAATCTCACCCTTCACAGACAGACCTGGTTATCCTTGAGAACACCAAGAGTCAAATCCCCAAGGGGCAGAGTTCTCTGCACTACTCTACATTTTCACGTGTAAGTCAATCAAAAAGCCCACAGCAGCCCACCCTATCTTTATTTTTATCATAATCTTTTTCTGTTAGCTCACTTTAGAGTACTAGGAATCACCTGAGTATCTTGTTAGAAATGCAGATCTAGGGCCTTTTCTCGAAAGATTCTGATACAGAAAATCTGGTGTCATGTCAGTTTGATACTCTATTCTCCATTTCTACAATATGAACGGCGCACAGTGGGTGCTCAGGAACTATTTGTTGAATGAATGAATGGATCTGACATTGGGAAGAGCTCAGCTTCCACCTCTCCAGGAAACCTTTCCCAATAATTTCATCCATCTATTACTTGCTTGATTTAAACAGCAATGAAAAAGAGCCAAGAAACCTAACTTGGATTCTTATATAATAGATTTAGGATATATTTCTAAAATATGATTATAAATCTGGTTCTAAATCTTTCACTGTAGGAATACCAGTTAATCTCTGTGTTGTGAAATTGGTTAATATCTGCTGAGGCTGCTTTGAATGGTAGTTTAAAAGATCAAATGGGATAATGAGCACAAAAGTGTTTTGAAAAGCATACAACCATACACATGCGAGGGGACCTTATTATTTTGGTTACAGTTAATACCTTGGTTGTAGAGAGATCTCCTCTCTGGTAATCTCAGCTCTCACAACAGAAAACTTGAAAGAGAGAAACGATATCTATGAATAGCTAACCCAGATCTCATAAAACTCATTCCTGAACGTGTCACACCTTATCCACAGCAGAATCCTTCAGACCTTCCTTCCACACCCTCTTTTTCCCAAAATTCTAATGAGCTTGGTTTTATGTCTCCAAAACTGCAAACGCAAAACCAAAATAGTAAAACTCAGGGAAGGAGGTTACCAGAGTCAAAAATTCAAGAAATCAGAGCAGTGTGGAGAAAGCAATCTGAATGCTATTCTAACAGTCCTCCAGAGAACATAAAAAACCTTGTGTTCATAATAATGATCTTGAACCATCCAGAAAAATTTACATACCCGTTTATATGCAGATATGTTCTACATAAGAAGCAGGGAATTGTGTGATAGATTTTAAAAAGACATGTACGGAAGTAGCTGCTGTAGACAGGCAGAGTTACACACTGACCGTGTTCCCCTTTCACTTGGGTCAAAGTTAAATTTGCAGCTCAACTGTGGAAACTAGAGGACCTTATGGTTTGAATATTTGTATTCTAGTTTTTCCTCCTAGTTTTGACATTCTATTTTAATTTGCGTTTTTCCTGGTTCTTATTTTTTAATTTACTATTTATGTTACATTGCTTTTCTTGTATGCCACCTCAGAATTCTGTGGAACAAGGCAGGAGTATAAATAAATCAATACACACCACTTCTATGTAGGTTAATGTTTTGCACAAGTAGGAATTCAATAAAAAATGTATTGTCTACAAAGAAAAAAGTGATAATGCTAGATAAATGGATATATTTCTAAAATATGATTATCTTTATGATCTTTTCCATATTCTAATTTTTGAATTGGATATGATGAAAAAAGAAATGAAGCTTTGTAATTTGGCCACAAAAGTAATGACCATATATAAAAGGCAATTCTAAGAGTTATGAAGGATCAATGAAAATCCTATAGCTCCACATACAGTCCTATTCTCCCTTTTCCTCTTCTTTTTAGGAAGCAACAACCCTCTGGAGGAATCTAAGCCAATTCTAGCCATTTGTGCCTCCCCTCCACCCCTTATAAAACCAGAGAGAAGGGCAATAAAATCTAAATTTACCCCGTGGGCTCCAAGGTCTCTATTATCTTGAGTTATCACATTCCTCATCCTTTTTGATCTTCTAAGTAAGATTGGTAAGTTGGCCAAAATGCTTACAGGGGATTTGGTTTTCGTAGGCAGACATGAAACCCCTAGCAAACTGGCCGTGGTTTTCTCCTCTGCTGAGAAGAAGAGAAGTTCAGTTCCGCAACCCTGGTTACAAAGTTAGTAAGTCATCAGCAGCTACTGTGAAATTAACAGAGTTTAAGGATTGAGCTGAACTCTGCTCCTAGTTTATAGTGGAAATAGGATTGGAAAAAGAGTACCTAAGTTCTAGACCCAGTTCTGACAATTCCAACTCAACATATGACCCTGAACAAGTCATTTATCCTCTTTAGAACTAGGGACGATCATTCCTGACATACCTACTTTCTCTGGGTGCTATGAGACCAATATTATTAACAAATAATTTACATTGGCCCTTGGATGTGTACAGTGACATTAATTGCTTCCTCCTCTGTGCTCCCACTACACTGCATGTGTGTCTCTGGTACAGCACCTGCCACATCACCTCACGATCGCCTGTGACAGGTCTGTCTGTATGGCTAACCTGAGAGCCGCTCAAGGGTAGTAATTAGTTCAATTAATCCTGGCATCCCTTGCTTTTCACAACATCATTTGACACATAGCAGGAGCTCAATATATGTTTTTTAAAGTCAAAAAGGAAAGACAAATTTCTGAAGCACTCAGCAACAAAATCCCAGTGATGTTTGACTTTGAGACATCACACACAACCAAAATTCCTCAGATCCTCACAGGATAAAAATTTTCAGTTTAAAAAAAAAAACAGAAACAAACAAGAAAATCTTCAGTATTAAAGCAACATGGAGACTCCCCTAAAATAAACTTCAGTTCATAGGGACTTTCCAGTTTACAAAACAAGCTAACAGTTGCATATTTAATCTTTATAAAAACTCTGCAAGATAGATATTATTATCCCCATGTTATATAAAAGGAAAGTGAGATGCAGGGAAGTTAAGTCACTTGTCCAGGGACACGTGTAGTCAGGAACTGGCAACTTCTGTGGGACTAACAGGCTAGATATTTTTAAATTAATTCTCTAAATCAAATCCACTGAGTAGAATGTGTAAGGCAGACAGCTGGGTGCATTGGGGCATAAAATATGATGCAGACACATCTAAAGGAGTCTTAGGAGTCTAAGCCTTGGGCATAGGTAATAAGCGAAAAAATGAGATCGAGTTTGCCAAGGAGAGGGAGTTGAGGGAACACCTGGAGGACAGTGATGTTTGATCTGGAGATGGGCATGGGTGAGACTGGGGAAGGACACAGGCAGGACATTCAGGCAAAGGGAGCAACATGAGCAAAAAGAGAGAGGACAGGGGTTATAGTAACAGGAAGAGCAGTGGAGGGCGTGAGAGAGAAAGAGGGGGAGTGGACATATTGATTTTGAGGTCCTGAACATCTAAGTGGAGTTGTCCATCCAGCAGTTGGAAACGCTGGGCAGGAACCAAGAGAATAAGGAATAAAAGTAGATGGCTGCAAGTCATCTGTAGAGAGAAACCAGGAGAAAATAGAAAGGCTAAAGGAACCTGGAGAAGGTAACAGCTAAAATGTGGAGGGAGGAAGAGGAATCCAAGGAAGAGCGGTCCAGAAGGCAGAAACGGCAGCACCTGCTTGAATGTCAATTATCAGCAGACAGAAGCTTAGTAAAGGGCAGGAAGGATGGAGGAAATTAAGGAGGATGAAGACTGAGAAAAAGGCCATTGAAATATGGGGAGTAAGAAGTCACCCATGATATTGGAGGAAACAATTTCAGTCAAACTAGAAGAAGTATGAGAGAGTGAAATTCAGATTAAAGGAATTGAGAAGTGGGTTGGGCAAGAAGTGAGGATAAATTGAAGAAATTCAGGTGAGATTCCAAGAAAATACAAAATACATACTAAAATCTCTAGATTCCTTGAGACAGACTGGCTGCTGGGAGAGGGCACCAGTCCATTTTGGTGGGCTCAAGCTGGGCCAGTGACCTCCCTCGCTCTCTGGTCCTTGCCTCACAGCACCGAGCGCCAGACAAATACCATAGCATGGAAGATTTGGTTCTTAAAACTTGGAGTGTTATGTGGAATTCAGTAAAAGGAGAGTATTACCAATGCAAACATAAGCATGGAATAGTGGCCCCTGATGCTCCCCTCATGGGCATCAGCAGCTGCTGTTGTCACCTTTGTCCTCAGCTTGTCTCTTCCATTCACTAGACTTGAGTCTAAACCACCTTGGACTCTTCAACTCAAAGCTGCCTCAAAAGCCAAAGATTTGCTTCCCAGAGTGTATTCGGAAGGTGGTCCTCCCAAAGGTTTCAAAAACCGTTTCTCCATAAGAGTGTTTCCTGTGCAGTGTATGTGAGCGCTCCTATGTTTGGGCACGTTTTTCCAAAGAGCAACCTCATGGGGTGTGGGCACAGTGGCCATTCTCACCTCTGCCGTCACATACATCTTCTACACACTGGGTCAGTATCTGGCACCTGCCTGCCTCACACTGCAAGCTCTCAAGTGCTGAGGTCCTGCTTTAAAGACAAGTACCCTTCTATTTAAGAAACAAACCTCAAGGCAAACACATTCAGCCCCCCCACGGAGATAAGGACGCTGAACTTAGGAGAAGCACATTCAGACTCTACCGTTGGACAAGTAGTTCACCCCCTCTGGGGGTTCATTTCCTCATGCGTGAAGTGAGGAAAAATGGACTAATAGATCTGTAAGAGGCTTTTCTTCTTTAAAAATAAAAAATAACTAAAAACTCGCCATGTGATTATTAAAAACTACCAGAGATGGTGAAAAAGAGAGCAGCAGCTGCATTATCAGGACAAAGGCAGTTCAGGGAACGGAGAGGACCCAAGGCCTGGGGTGAAGGTCTGGGAGCAGGGACAGCAGCCTGGGAGCTCCAGGGAGCAAGGCCACACCCACTGCCCCTGCGCGCAGTGCTTCTCAGCCTAAGCTGGAGCAGCCTCCTCCTCCCCGCGGGGGGCGTGCGTTTGTTGGGAGCTGTTGAGAGAGCAGCGGCTCAGGCCCCTTGGCGCCCTGCCCTGCCAGCGTCCCGCCCGCGGGTGGGGAAGGGGTCCTTACCCATCGTGTTGTTGGCTCGGGAGCAGGCTGTGCGCTTCAGAATCTCGTGCACCTGAAAGAGGACGACAGCAGAGCTGAGGACGCCTTGCCCGCCAGGCATCGCCGCTGGAGACCGGGAAGCCAAGCGAGTGCCCAGCTGAGCTCACCAACAGCATGTCAAACCCGCTCAGACTTGAGGACTTTGAGGAAACAAAGAATCTCACCCCTCACACACATCCCGCCACCACCCCCCACCCCACCCTAGAAAAATAAATAAATGAAAGGCTCTGAATGGATGGCAGTTGTAGGAGGTAAGAGCAGGGGGCCAGCCTGGGACCATATGGCCCTCTTGAGGACCAGGAAGGAAGTGCCCAGCCTGGTGGGGCAGCGGACAGAATGCCGGCTTCCCTCCCAATGGGGGTCCCCTGGGAGGGAAGGGTACTCTCTAGCAGGGACCTGGTGAGAGTGAAGAGGGTATGCCTCCTCCACCAGCCTGGAGCATATGCTGACCCAGAAAGCCTGGTGGTAGCAGGGACAGCACAGTTATGTAGGGGGCAGATGCAGAGGGGTCCTGAGCAAGCTCTGGGGACCCTGCTTCTGCCTCCTGGCAGAAGTAGCACACACAGCCGCATCAAAGGGCCAACAGAACAAAGCACAGAAAAATGTACTGTCAAGAGAAAGGGGGCTACGAATGTGTGGTCACTGGTATTATCATTCTCTGCTCCTTTTCCTGAGTGCCTCATGCCTCTCTAGCCAGAGCACAACTTCCCAGACTCCTGTCTTAGAACACAGACATGCGCACACAGGGCTGCCCACTCCGGGGCGTTGTATGCCTGAAGAAGCCCACAGAACCCTGGGCTATGGGGCTTGCAGTAGACCCTGTCCCTCACATGGGAGGAGAGGGGTGTTCCCTGCAGAAAAATCACAGACATCAGTGGGTCGGTGTGAACCTACTGGCCAACTAGTGACCTAGTGGGTCCTAAGCCTGTCCTGGGCCATGCAGAGATGTCCAGCACTGGAGTCTGCTTTGTGACAAACAGCTGGGCTGCTCAGGCACCAATAAAGAATTGGGCACAGGAAAGACATGTGCAGATGTGGGTGAGGTCTTCTGACAAAAACCCAGGGCAGAGTAGACCTCAGGACAAAACTCAGGGCTCTTTATCCCCCTTCTCATAGTCAGGGGGCCTGAGGAAAGGGTAGGAGGGGAAAGGAGAAGCTTCCAGAAGGAGAGATGAATGCTAGATGTGTTACTCATGTCTATTTACACTCAAGTATGCCAGCCACAGACCTAGAGGGAGTGGTAAATAATAACTTCCAGCAGAATGGGGGCAAGAGTGTTTAATTCTGCTCATAATACAGTGCAGTAATTCGACAGCAATAATAATTAGGAACAGCATTTATATGGCATTCTATTATTTTACAAGCACTTCGCAATTATCGGGTAATCTCCACAACACCCTATAACTCCCCCATAGTGGAGGGACCCAGGCAACAGTGAGATTTAATTGGCTTGTAATAGCATCAATTAAGAAAATGAGACATTTACACCTTTCTCCGTAGGAGGGAAAAAGAAATCATATGCCCATTTTAAACCTTCCTGAAACAGGCTAAGGGACCTGAGATATTTTCTCGCCCATCCTTCATGCAAGAGTTAAGGCCACGTTTTCAGTGTCCTTGGGAAACATTCTATAGCTTTCTCTGGTCACCTGCCCCTTCTTTTCCTTCTTATCCTTTCTAGTCACCCCAATGGCTGGGGGGCCTTCGGGGTATCTAACCCTTATTTCTCCTTTGAGAATAGAAGTTCTTTCCTGGGTATCAATGGAAACACACTTCCATGCTCCCATGTGGGCCTGAGTAAGTCTCTAGCATTCCTTGGGCACCCTTTCTCTCCTCCACTCCTAGGCCGAGTGACCCCTAGGGCATGGTCAGTGAATGAAGACCTGTAGCTCAGCTTGGGCCACAGGGACGCGGGCCACAGACAGATTTTTATTATCAACACTTGACATAAAAGGCAAAGCAACCATAAAAGATGGGCTTCAGTGGTGAATGTTGGCTTTCTGTTGAATGGGCCAGGAATTTTATTCTCGGACAAACTGTTTAACTCTAGCATTTCCTGTGAGATAAATTCGCATGACCCCTTGTCGTTAGGGTTGAAAGAAAGGGAAATGCAGGAAGAAACACAGTGGCCCTGCAATCAGACGGACTGGTTCTCTCATCCTTGCTCTGACCCCAACAATCTATATGATGTTTTTGTTCAAAGTGCTTCTCAGAATGTCAGTTTCCTCAACTGTAAACCAAAAAGACACCTAGCTAAAGTCCCCCACCAGCTCTGACATGCCCTGTTTTTCTGATTCTAAGGAGGACTTCAGTGGAGAAGCATAAAGAGAAGATGCTCCTTTCATATGGAAAGTGAGGCCAGTGGTTTGCTATTTCTTGTTTTGTTTTGTTTTGTTTTGTTTTGTTTTTAAGTAAATCTATTTCAGGTTAATGTGAGGGTACAAACAACCAGGTCAAAATATTTGATTTTGTTAGGTAGAGTCCTTCTTGTGGTTATGTCCCCCCCCACAAAAGGTTGTTTGCTATTTCTTTTGCTGCTGGGCCAGGGACACTCTAGGGTACTTAGTTGCTAGGCAACACCAAGCAAATAATGATTTGAGGTTATAGGGAGGGTAAGAGAATGCCCTGCCTCCTGGGTACTCAGCCTTTCTCCCCACCACTTGCCTAACATGGCACATCCCTGTACTTACGATGCGGCTTCGGGTGGCATTATCAAAGAAGGTGTCCTTTTCCTGGATGTTGTACCTAGAGACACCAAGACAGCAGATGGTAAACTCATCTCCCTGCCCCAGCCCCACAGCTTTAGAAAGCAACATGGCAAGACGTGTGAGGTGTGCACACACTCACAATACTTGTGCTCTTTTTGACACAGTAATTCTGAAAATGGAGCACAGGAATGTATCTCAGGGAATAAATTCAACGGAAGAAAAGAAGTGGCATACATATAAATATTCATTACAGAGTTATTTACCATAAAAATTATGTAGCGAAGATGTAATTTCTACATCAGTAGACTAGATTATCATGCAGCCAGTAAAAAGTCATAATTATTAAACTCTGTATATAAAAAAAGATTATACCATGAAAGAAAAATATTCTACTATGATAAGTTTTCAAATTGAAAGTATGAATGTTCATGGACAAAGACAATAAAAACTACCAAAAAAAAAAAAAGTACAGTTTCAGGGTGTTGGGATTATAGTTCTTTATATTTTCAAAATTGCATTTAATGTTATCACTGTGTTCTCATCCATGAGATGGCAAATTTCTAATTATGAAAGACTTGTGTTCTGTTTTTAATTTCACACCTTGAACTTGCACTCAACAAAAGCACCCAGGGCATGTCTGCCATGCTTAGCGTGCTACACTAAAGGATGGGAACATACTCCCAGTTCCCAGGAGCCCCCAGTCACTGAGTTGGGATGTCCAAGTAATTGATGTAGAGTAGAACATGGCAATGTCAGACCATTGCTATGAAAACTCATAAGAGGGTAGAGAGCACACTTCTGGTTGGGAAGGACACAATATTCTTCAAAAGGAAGATGCCCATACGCTGGTCCTAAAGGACAGCACAGTGAAGAAATGGAGACACCTGGGAGGTGACTGTGCAGACTCCAGCAGGGCATGAACAAAGGCCCAGGGAGGGGGTATAAGGAAGCAGCACCGGGTCCAGAAGGAGCAGGCCATGGCCACCATGCCAGCCCCAGTCAGCCACTTAGGTTGTATGGCCTTTGACCTGGTTTCCTCTCTCTAATAGAAAGCTTGTTAGATCTGGCTGGCCACCTCTCAAAGGAGAAGCATGGGATTCAATGACAGGATGAACATGTGCAAAAGCAGCAGCATGTACGTGCATCTGGAATCTCACCTGGCAAAGACAGGTGGAGATATTCTCCCACAAACAGCAGAAACACTGCTCCATGACACCCACCTCCTACAAAGGGCGGCTCCTTCCGCCTCCTCTGCTTTCCTACTCCTTCCCTTCTCTGGCTCTCTTATCACTCCTGACAGTTGCTTCTCTCATTAGTTCCTAGAGCAGGGTTAATGCTCAGCTGCTGCATCTCCCACTTCCTGGAATGGCTCCCCCTTCCAGATGTTTCCCAAATGGCCATTCCTGTGAGGAGCTTTTATTCCCTCCTCCTGGACTGGGTGGGGTGGAGGGTCTCCTCAGAGTCAATAAGTGCGTGAGTAGGCTGGGAATACAGAAATCCAGAAGCCTCACCCACCTTCTCTCTGGCTTATTGCATCCTGCTGAAACCCCATGAGACTGAGAATTAGGCGGAAGATTTTCCCACAGGAGACAAACAGGAGTCTGACCACTTTTTCACAGAGTTTCAAAGTTCATAGTAGGCTGCTAGAAAATGGCCAAATGGTAGGTTCCCCTCCCCCAGACAAACACCCAGAGCTATTTGGGACCATGTCACTTGGGGAAGCAGAGTCACAGAACAGGGGTGCTGTTTTACGGCATCCCTCCCTCTCCCAGCCACTTGGCACACATGTGAGCCCCAGAGCTGGGGCACAGAATGGGAAACCTGATATTCAGTTTCCCTTCCCATCCCCTCTCACATCCCTGCCCAGCAGCTTCAGCACTCACAGGTACATCTTCTCCCTGGAGAATGGGTAAGACAGATTCTTCATCTTGTTGTTGCTATGCTCCGGGACTCTGGGCTGCAGAGGCGAGCTGAGCTTCTGCAGAATGGCGTTGAACTTCTTCGCAATGCTGCCTCCTGCTTTGATCTCGTACATCTAGGAAACGCAAAGTCACAGGTCTAAAAAGTCTTCATACTTGAATACTTGAAATACTCGCTAAGATAGAGTTAAGAAATGCCACAAAAGATATACGAAGTGCTTTCAGGGTTCAAAGAAAGAAGGTAGCACTTCCAATTGGGGAATTAGACAAATGTTTCATGACAGGAGCAGCATTTCAGATGGACTTAATAGAAGGGTCATCTTTTTTGTTATCATGTTGTTCTTTAAGAAAATAATGATAAGTAGAGGCAGATAACTATGAACCTCCCTAGATGAAAACTAGAACCTCTCTAGTCTAACAACTAAAACATAATCACAGTTTATTTCTTCTAAGCATTTTTCCTATGCATTATAATTTAATTTCAATTACAAAATTAACACAGTTCAGGAACGTAAACCAAAGCCATAAAAAAGTACATTTACCAGATATTAGAAGTTGCTTTTCTCATTTAACAATGTATCATAGATATCTTTCCAGGTCAGTTCACCTACAGTCACCTTGGTGGATGCAAAGTCTTGTGCAGTAGATGTGAATGCTTCCAGCGATGGCCATTATTTCATTTTCTAAGCATGCTTTATCTTGTCTTAATCATATTTCTATTAACATTATCTTATAAGAAATTTTGGTGACTAAGGCAGACAGAGGCAAAGAAATTCCAGGCAAACAAAACAGCAGAAAAGTTCAAGCTGGGTTTGAGGAGGGTTAAATGGGCTGCTGTGTTTGGAGCAAGGGGTTCTGATGGGGAATAGTGATGATGGTGGCAGAGGGGCACACTGAAACCAGTGCGTGAAGACCCTGCTGCACAAAAACAATGGCTGTCAGCAAAGGGTATGAACGATGACAAACTCAGAGCTGAGTTTTGATAACTGAATACAGTTGTGTGAGAAGAAGAGCAAGCCTACTTTCTGAAACAAGGAGATTGTTTATTTCTAGTATCACACACCATTTATTAAGCATCTCCTCTGTGCCCTGTGTGCCTAGCTCTCAGTGTGTGTTAGTGTTAAAGATATGTGGTGAACATATCTTTACACAGATAGTGTAGACAAGCTTAGAATCAATGGCGTTTTGAATCCCCTGGCCAAGCCTGTTTTCTGGACTTCTCTACTGCTTCATTTGCTGAGCTAGGAGTTAACCTGGGAGAAAACCGGGTGCAGCTTCCAACATTATTTCCATTGCCATCAAGGTCTCGACCATTGTGCCAAACCTCTTCTTCACACATGTTCATCACTACAATACAAAGAGCTCACTTCCCAAGCATCTCTGGACCTAGAGTGGCAGGGACAGAAAGATGACCTCCTCACACTGTCACAACATATCCCTTACGGGCCATTCTGGTTAGCTGAGAACCTCCACGCAGTTCCTGAGCCTCATTGTGGGAATGGCTCTGATAGGGATCACTTAGAAAAACAGGCTAAAGAGAGCGGGCTCTGTACTATGCTTTAGTAGTCGTGGAATTGAAATAAAGGTGACTATTTCTTGATGAAGGATGCTCCAAATCACTGACAGGGACATCAGCATCTGCCTTCAGAATCGTGTCAAAGTGTGGAAGACCAGAGTCCCACCGGAAAACTCAGGCTACCATATACTCCACAGCCCTGAACAAGACCCCACACAAATGTTCTCAAATACCACAGCAGACTTGCACTGGAAAGAGATTTCTCAGACGCCAGGCCTCTATGGCGCATGCAACAGGCACGAATAAAATGCATGTAGGGGTCCCTGTGGTGCAATACCATGCACACTGGGCCGTGGAGGGCAAGAGACCTGCTTCCTGCCGCCATGTCTTTGCTTGTGTTGCCCGTTCCTGGGACTTCCTCTCTCCTTTTCCACCTGCATAACTCTTGCCTCCCCTTCACCATAAGGCTCCAAGTCTAACTTTCCCAGGAAGCCTTCCTTGCACACTCACTCCCTGTAATGATTCATTTACTTCATAAAATGTACCTTGCTGTACTTGTTTTAGTTTATGTAGCTGCCTCTAGTTCTCAGTTTATGTGTCTGTCTCCCCAGCAGACTGAGGACTCCTAGATCTCAGAGACTCCACCCTGCGTGCCCGACATGCAGTAAGGACAGGATAATGTTTACTGAGGGAGTGACCTGAGTCCTGGTCCTTGTGACACTAACTAGATGTGTGACTTTGGACAAGTCACTCTTCCTCTCTCGGTTTCTTATTCTCTGAGGAGAGAGCCCAGGAACCTCTACTGCCTACTATGATGGAGTAACTGAGATCTATTTACCCTCCCTCCTGGAACACCCAGGCAAAATACAGGATACCGGACATCAGGGCACAAAAGGCAGTGATCCCTGGGAGAAAGGGAACTGAGGAGGTGAGCCCTGTGTTTGCTCCAGCTCACTGCCTCAGGCGAGGAAGGGGAAACAGGTGGGGTCCAGCAAATTCCCTGAATTGAGAAGACAGAGCTGAAAGTCTGGGAGACCAAGGCAGTTAGTATGCGTAGTACTTGAAAGGAGACAGCTGCACAGAGAACCCCAGAGGTCTGCAGAAGGTCCCCTTAGAGGCAAGGAAACTATCCAAAGCTAGAAAAAGAACCATCTGAAGGATTGGGAATAGCACCCATGTACATCAGCCAGATAGGAAAAT